GCTAAATAGTTGGATTGCTTCAGTTACAGCTCCATCCTTTTCAGTGGGTTTTTGAACAATTAAAAACAAAGTCATCTGGGCCAAAGTGATGGCTCATGCCTGCAATCCCAGCGCTTTGGAGGTCGAGATGGGTGGATTGCTTGAGTGCAGGAGTTCAAACAGTCAGACTAAGCCTGGGCAACATGGCGAAACCCAATCTCTACAAACAAAACAAAACAAAACAAAAAAAACAAAAATTAGCTGGACCCAGTGGCACATGCCTGTGGTCCCAGCTACTTGGGAGGCTGAGGTGGGAGGATTGCTTGAGCCCAGAAGGCCGAGGCTGCAGTGAGCCATGATTGACCCACTGCACTCCAGCCTAGGCGACAGAGTAAGACCCTGTCTAAAACCAACAAACAAAAAAAACCATAGTCATCTGTTCTGTTCTTTTGTAGAGACATTTCTTTGGTGACTTTTTACCTCTCAAGTTAATTCAGCTAATAGTTATTTATTGAACACATATTATGTGTGCATCTCATTTTAAAAGATAATTTTAGTAGTTCCTAAACTTGTTAAAATCTTTTACAGATTTATAGCTCCCCCAGAGGAGAGAGGAAGAAGTAATTATTATTGAATTCTATTTCTCTGAATTAGAGAAAAGTTCTAACTTTGTGGTAAATAGTTTGAGGAGATTAGAAAATGTTAATTATATGTTATTTATTTATTTATTTATTTAAGATAAGGTCTCACTATGTTGCCCACTTCAGCCTTCCAAAGTAGCTGGGATTAGAGGAAATGGATGTTTAAAATATGTATATAGCTGGGTGCGGTGGCTCACGCCTATAATCCCAGCATTTTGGGAGGCTAAGGCCGGTGGATCACGAGGTCAGGAGTTCAAGAACAGCCCTGCCAAGATGGTAAAACCCTGTCTCTACTAAAAATAAAAAAATTAGCCAGGTGCAGTGGCGGGCGCCTGTGATCCCAGCTACTTGGGAGGTTGAGGAAGGAGAATCGCTTGAAACTGGGAGGCAGAGGTTGCAGTGAGCCGAGATTGCGCCACTGCACTCTAGCCTAGGTGACAGAGCAAGACTCCGTCTGAAAAAAAAAAAAAGTATATAGTATATATCACTTATAGAGGTAGGATTTTGGGAGCCTGTATAAATGTTTCAGTAATACAAGGGAGTTAGAAGAGAATAATTCTAACATACAGTCATCAGGCATGTGCCTATGCCTATATTTATACTGTATTCAGCAACAGTGAAGCTTATAAGAATTAAAATTCTGTGTCGGGTGCTGTGGCTCTTGCCTGTAATCCCAGCACTTTGGGAGGCCGAGGTGGGCGGATCACCTGAGGTCAGGAGTTTGAGACCAGCCTGGCCAACATGGCAAAACCCCGTCTCTACTAAAAATACAAAAAATTAGCGGGGTGTGGCAGCACACGCCTGTAATCCCAGCTACTGAGGAGGCTGAGGCAAGAGAATTGCTTGAACCCAGGAGGGGGAGGTTGCGTCGAGCCAAGATTGTGTCACTGCACTCCAGCCTGGGCAACAGAGTGAGACTCTGTCTTAAAAAAAAAAAAATTCTGGGTTGGGTGATTAAAATATACTATTCTACTGGGAATTTCAAGGTATAGAATTAAAACTTATCTTTTTTTTAATTAGTTTTGTTTTTAAAAACACTTGAACCAATTTTAAGTTAATTAGGATATATTTTCTGTTACCTTCAGCTGTCAGTATAAAATATGTATTTGTAAGAATGTAGTTCTTTTAGGCTTTATTCACCAAAAATGACAGCAGCATTAAACTTGTAGTTATTATTTAAAGTGGGACTATTGTCTTAAATTCCATTCAGATTAACTTTATATCTGGACTAGTATTTAGATTGAATGTTGAATATGAGGCCTATACAATGTTTAATATCATTGGTATATTGAGCTATATTAAAAAATTACAGTCCCAATTCTGCATTAAGTTTGTGTGGTTGGTACATGGAGATACATGTGATGTGCCATCTAAGAACCTACAGAGGAGGGAATATTTTTCATCTAAAGATTTGAGGAATGCTAAAATCACTAATCAGTGTGCTCTAAGAATAATATTAGGGAGACAGTTCTGATATGATCAGAATTTAATGAGTAGTTTCCACAGATAACCTGAAAAAAAAAAAAAAAAAAAAGGTGGGCACGGTGGCTCATCCCTGTAATCCCAACACTTTGGGAGGCTGAGGCGAGAGGATTGCTTGAGCCCAGGAGTTCGAGAGCAGCCTGGGCAACATAAGTAGATCCCGTCTCTACAAAAAATAAAATAAAAAATTAGCTGGGTATGGTGGCACACACCTGTGATCCCAGGTACTTGGAAGGCTGAAGCGGGAGGATCACTTGAGCTTGGGAGGTCAAGGCTGCAGTGAGCCATGGTCATGCAACTGTACTCTAGCCTAGGCAACAGAGCAAGACCTTGTCAAAAAAAAAAAAAAAAAAAAAAAATTTAGTGAGTTTTAGTAAGTGAAAATGTTACTCATTTTATTGTATCCTCTTTTGGAGGAAGTCTATGAACAGGAGGATGGTGGTCAGCTCAGAAGATAGCAAAGGGAAACCTAAAGCATGTGGAGTTGGGCAGCTGGTGTGTTGGGAGAGAAGTGCGTGATTTACTGTTTCCGGAAGCAGACATGTTCTTACTCTGTAGAGGGATTTGTGTAGTCTGATGTCATTAAATATTTGAGTGAGTCGTATAATTGTTTTTCTGTGGTTTGTCCCTTGTTTACCCTAGCACCTTTTTTTTTTTTTTTTTTTTTTTTTTTTTTTTTTTTCCCCAAGATGGAGTCTGGCTCTATCGCCCAGACTGGAGTGCAGTGGTACAATCTCGGCTCACTGCAACCTCCGCCTCCTGAGTTCAAGCAGTTCTGCCTCAGCCTCCCAAGTAGCTGGGATTACAGGCACGCACCACCATGCTCAACTAATTTTTGTATTTTTAGTTGAGGCAGAGTTTCACCATGTTGGCCAGGCTGGCTTCAAACTCCTGATCATCTACCTCAGCCTCCCAAAGTGCTGGGATTACAGGTGTGAGCCACTGTGCCCAGCCTTCTTCTTCTTCTTTTTTTTTTTTTTTTTTTTTGAGACACAGGGACACTACCGGTAACCCAGGCTGGAGTGCAGTGGTATGATCACTGCTCCCTGTAGCCTCAACCTCTGGGGCTCCGGTGACCTTTCCACCTCAGCCTCCTGAGTAACTGGAACTACAGGCACACATGTTGGCTAATTTTTATATTTTTTTGTAGAGACCATGCTTCACCATGTTGCTCAGGCTGGTCTCGTGCTGCTGGGCTCAAGTGATCCTCCCACCTCGACCTCTGAAAGTGCTGGAACTACAGGTGTGAGCCACCGTGCCCAGGCCTCTAGCTGAGGGAGAAAATGTACTCATCTGCTGATGAGAGCGTTGTAGTCTGGTAGACATCTGCATTTCTTGTTATGAACAAATAAATGGACCCAAAATTAAATAAATGGAAACAACACCTGTGGGCCTACATATATTTTTTTGTTTTGTTTTGTTTAGAGACATGGTCTTCCTCTGTTGTTCAGGCTGGAGTGCAGTGATGTGATCATAGCTCACTGTATGTAACTTCTAACTTCTGGGCTCAAGTGATCCTCCTGCTTCAGCCCCACAAAGTGCTGGGACTACTGGCGTGAGTCTCTACACCCAGTCCACATGTGTATGTTTATGTTTCTGCAAGCTTCGTTAGAGTAAGTTGGTCCTGTGAGAAAGATTTGCTTATAGTCTGTTTCATCTGATGAAGTTTCTTTGTGGCTACTCCACTAGTGTGGTGGTATTTTGCATTGCTCTGAGCCTTAACATTTGAAAACTGCAACAGTTTAGGCCATTTAACTTGTGTGACCTCACTGGTAAAATTAGAATGTTGAACAAATGATCTCATAGTCCTCCCAGGTCTAAATCTTTATGGATTCATAACCTGAGCATTACGTGCTCAGTTGTAGCAGACCTACAGGTAAGAGAAGGAAGCTTGGAGAGTATGGAAATATCACTGATATTACCCATATGACTAAAGTTGCACTTTTTTCTTTCTTTCTTTCTTTTTTTTTTGAGACGGAGTCTCATTCTGTTGCTCAGGCTGTAGTGCACTGGCATGATCTTTGCTCACTGCAGCCTTGATCTCCTGGGCTCAAGCGATCCTCCCACCTCAGCCTCCAGAGTGCTGGGAATATAGACGCACACCATCATGGCCTGCTAATTTTTTTATTTTTTGTAGCGACATGGTTTTGCCATGTTTCCCAGGCTGGTCTCGAACTCCTGAGCTCAGGCAGTCCTCCCACTTTGGCCTCCCAAAGTACTGGGATTACAGGCGTATGCCACTGCACCTGACCTAAAGTTGCACATCTTAACTAACCTTGTTTTGTTTGGCTCCACTGTACTGACCAGGTATCATTTAGGTATTGCTGCTAGGCTAAAGCTTCTTAAGGCAAGGCCAATGTCTGCTGAGTACAGAATGGTGTCTGTCACAGAGAAAAGGCATTAAGTACTTATTGAGTGAAGTATTAGAGCATACCTGGGACAATGTATTTGGGACATAGCTAAACATGGTTTGATTATTAATGACTTTTTAAAATATTCTTTATTATGGAAAATTTTAAACATGTAGGAGTAGACAGGATTATATAATAAACCCTCATTTACCTATCACCCTGATTCAGTAACCATGATCATTCTTGTTTCATCTTTATCTCTTTCCACTCTTCTCTTCTATTATTTTCATGTAAATCACAAACTTTATATCATTTAATCTGTAATTATTCCAATATGTATCTCAAAAATAAGGACTTTAAAAAATCATGGCCATACCATTGTCACACATTAAAGAATGACTTGGTTTTGATAAATACTAAGTTAACTTCACTTCAGAATATGTGTACTAAAGATTCCCAGTAAACCTGTTATGTGTAGTTTCCAGGCAGTTAAACTTAGAAATAAATCAATAGGACTAGCTTTATTGTTTTTCTGTTTCATATTTAGGCTATCAATATGACGGCTGAGGAAACAGTGAATGTAAAAGAGGTTGAAATCATTAAGCTAATTTTGGACTTCCTGAATTCAAAGAAGCTTCACATTAGTATGCTGGCCCTGGAGAAGGAAAGTGGAGTCATAAATGGCCTGTTTTCAGATGATATGCTTTTCCTGAGGTATGATTTCATTATACTATGAAGTTTGTAGCTCCTTCAAAGAGATGTTAAGTATTAATAAGGTAATATATTTAATACAGACAGAACTTTATAATCATGAAAAGGCTATGTAAGTGTAATTTAAAAAAATATTTTAAAAATAGAACATTTACAAAATAGGCCGGGCATGGTGTCTCACGCCTGTAATCCCAGCACTTTGGGAGGCTGAGGCAGGCGGATCATTTGAGGTCAGGAGTTTGAGACCAGCCTGGCCAACATGGTGAAATCCCACCTGTACTACAAATGTAAAAATTAACTGGGCGTGGTGGCGCATGCCTGTAATCCCAGCTACTCAGGAGGCTGTAGTCCCATCTACTTGGGAGGCTGAAGCAGGAGAATCGCTTGAACCAGGGAGGTGGAGGTTGCAGTGAGCTGAGGTGGCACTGCTGCACTCCAGCCTGGGCAGCAGAGTGAGACTCCATCTCAAAAATACAAAAATATAAAAGAGAACATTTACAAAATAATGCTTTCTGTAGAATGTTTTCAGTAGTAAGACCCAGAGGTCTGTTAAAAAGAACAAGAGTCACAACTCCATTGTGGTTGTGGTATCATAATAAAAGATATTTGACTGAGAAAATCAGAGACTTTGAAAAGGTAAGAAAATGTTTCTGAAATACCATTTTTTGGCCATAGAAATAAAATGTGTTCATTGTAGAAAATATAGAAAGATAAATGAAAGAAAAATTACCCCACCACGCAGACGTAATATTGTTCTTATTCCTTGCTGTTTTCATTCTTAGAGTGTAATTACTGTGCATCTTTTTTTTGCATCTATTAAAAATTACAATTCTGTTGTGTTTATAATTTAGAATCGTGCCTTATCTATTAACATCACAAGGTTTCTCTGTGTGATTACAAATTCATATTTAAAAAATCTTCAGGCGGGACATGGTGACTCATGCCTGTAATCCTAGCCATTTGGGAGTCTGCAGATCACCCGAGGTCAGGAGTTTGAGACCAGACTGGCCAACGTAGTGAAACCCCATCTCTACTAAAAATACAAAAATTAGCCGCATGTGGTGGTGCATGCCTCTAGTCCCAGCTACTCGGGAGGCTGAGGCAGGAAAATCACTTGAGCCCGAGAGGTGGAGGTTTCAGTGAGCCATGATGGTGCCACTGTACTCTAGCATGGGTGACAGAGCAAGACTAAATAAATAAATAAATTATAAATAAATAATAAATTAAAAAAGTCCAGGCGTGGTGGCTCATGCCTGTAATCCCAACACTTCGGAAGGCCAAGGTGGGTATTTTACCTAAGTAAGGTCAGGAGTTCGAGACCATCCTGGCTAACACAGTGAAACCCCGTGTCTACTAAAAATACAAAAAATTAGCTGGGCGTGGTGGCGGGCACCTGTAGTCCCAGCTACTCTGGAGGCCGAGGCAGGAGAATGGCGTGAACCTGGGAGGCGGAGCTTGCAGTGGGCTGAGATCACACCACTGCACTCCAGCCTGGGCGACAGAGCGAGACTCCATCTCAAAAAAAAAAAAAACCAAAAAAAAAAAAAAAGAAAACTAAAATTAGCTGGGCATGGTGGTGCATGCCTGTAATTCCAGCTACAAATAAAAATTTCCAGTTTACTTAATTTCCTAAATGGTTCCCCTAATTTTACACAATTGTTCCCAATTTATCTTAAATAATTGCTCTACAGAACATCTTTTATACATGAGTTTTTTTTTTTTTTTTTTGAGATAGAGTCTTGCTTTGTTGCCCAGGCTGGGGTGCTGTGGTGTGATCTCAGCTCACTGCAACCTCCACCTCCTGGGTTCAAGTGATTCTTTTGCCTTAGCCTCCCAAGTAGCTGGGACAACAGGTGCACACCACCACGTCTGGCTAATTTTTGTATTTTCAGTAGAGGCAAGATTTCACCATGTTGGCAAGGCTGGTCTTGAACTCCTGACCTCAAATGATCTGCCTGTCTTGGTCTCCCAAAGTGCTGGGATTACAGACGTGAGCCAATGCATCTGGCCGAGACTTTTTCTATATATTGGATTATTTCCTTAGGACAAGATTCTTAGAGGTGGAATTGCAAGGCAAAGTGAAGTAACATGTTTGCCAAAATGGAAAGCTAAATATATTCTAGTTTGAATTGGATAGAAACAGAAAATCCCAAATTTGCAGGCAGAAATGTATTCTATTTTTATGAGATACCAAATATCCTTGACAAGAAGTACAGATTTTTGGACATGTGGCATTTTGTGATTTGGAAAGCCTTAAGAAATGAAGTGTTCCTCCCAGGAGGCGGAGGTTTCAGTGAGCTGAGATCATACCATTGCACTCCAGCCTGGGCGACAAGAAGGAAACTCCATCTCAAAAAAAAAAAAAAAATGAAGTATTCCTAACTTAAGGAACCATTCAACAACAGCAACAACAACAACAAAGCTTTATTATATTAGGAGAGTCTATTTAAACTTGTTGCACTTCCCTATATTTTGTGTTATGAATATCATCCAGCCCCAGAGAGCTTAGTTTTTAGTGTAGTATTTTTTAAGCACTGTCTTTCAAGCATTAATACTCCTAGAATTTAACAGTGGCTGCTCTCAAGTACCCTCCTGCTTGAATTATGATGAAATTTTACTGGTCTTAGGTGAAATGCAAATAATAATAAAATAATAGGTTTTTCATTAAACTAAGTATGTTTGGCTGGGCGTGGTGGCTCACACCTGTAATCCCAGCACTTTGGGAGGCTGAGGTGGGCAGATCACGAGGTCAGGAGATTGAGACCATCCTGGCTAAAATGGTGAAACTCCGTCTCTACTAAAAATACAAGAAATTAGCTGGGCGTGGTGGCAGGTGCCTGTAGTCCCAGCTACTCGGGAGGCTGAGGCAGGAGAATGGCATGAACCTGGGAGGTGGAGCTTGCAGTGAGCCGAGATCGTGCCACTGCACTCCAGCCTGGGCAACTGAGCAAGACTCTGTCTCAAAAAAAACCAAAAAAACTAAATATGTTCATCTTAAAGGGCTGGCCTTTGAAATTACATCCTTTCTTTTTGAATATTGAAATTCACCTTTATAAAATGATTATGAGATGCTGTGATTGCTTTATTTTTATTTTAAAAATTTCCTTTTTTTTTTTTTTTTTTTGAGATGGAGTCTCACTCTGTCGCCTAGGTTGGAGTACAGTGGTGGGATCTTGGCTCACTGCAAGCTCCGCCTCCCGGGCTCACGCCATTCTCCTACCTCAGCCTTCCGAGTAGCTGGGACTACAGGCGCCTGCTATCATGCCTGGCTAATTTTTTGTATTTTTAGTAGAGACGGAGTTTCACCATGTTAGCCAGGATGGTCTCAATCTCCTGACCTCACGATCCGCCCACCTCAGCCTCCCAAAGTGCTGGAATTACAGGCGTGAGCCACCACGCCCGGCCTAAAAAATTTCTTTATTTTAAACTTTTTTTATAGAGATGGGCTATTACTATATTGCTGCCTTGGCTGGTCTTGAACTCCTGACCTCAAGTGATCCTCCCATCTTAGCCTCCCAAAGTGCTGGGATTTACAAACGTGAGCCACTGTGCCCATCCTGCTTTTATTAATATTTCTTCTTTGCAGAATATTGTTAATCCTGTGTAGGTCTTCCTGCCCATCCTTCCCATTTAAAATTTCTCTGTTCTAAAACGTTCAAAAATTAGGGAAATTGCCATTGTAAAAGAAAAGAAATAAGAATGCCTTGTAACTTTTGGATATTCCCATAGACCATTTAAAGTAGGATGAAACTTGTTCTTATTCCTTGCTGTTTTCATTCTCAGTGTAAACGTTATTGTTAGATTTCTCAAAGCTGTAGATTTCACATAGAATTCACAATGTAGAGCAGAGTTTCTCAGCCTTGGCACTGCTAGCATCTGGGCCAGATAATTCTTTGTTGTGGAGGGTTGTCCTTTGTCGTAGGATATTTAACAGCATCCCCAACTAGATCCCAGTAGCTCCACCCACTAGATCCCAGTAGTATCCCCAGTTGTGACTACCAAAAATGTCTTTAGATGTTGCCAAATGTCCTGACGGTGTGCAAAATCACCCCCAGTTGAGATGGGTTTTCACCATGTTGCCTCAGCCTCCTAACATGTTGGGATTACAGGTGTGAGCCACCACGCCCGCCTTTTTTTTTTTTCCTCTCTATATTTACATTTTTGTAAAATAGTTAAGGCAACCCCTTCTCATGTTTTTCGAAAATTACTTTTTTTTTTTTTTTTTAGTCTCATTCTCTCGCCCAGACTGGAGTGCGATGGCGTAATCTCGACTCACTACAACTTCTGCCTCCCAGTTTCAAGCGATTCTCTCCTTCGGCCGCCCAAGTATCTGGGATTATAGGCATACGCCACCATGCACGGATAATTTTTGTATTTTAAGTAGAGACTGGGTTTCAGCATGTTGGCCAGGCTGGTCTTATTCTCAGTGTAAACGTTATTGTTGATTTCTTCAAAAGCTGTAGATTTCAGCATAGGAAATTCCACAATGTAAGAGCAGAAGTTTCTCCAGCCCTTGGCACTGCTAGCAATCTGGGCCCAGATACATATCTTTGATGTGACGGGTCTGTCCTTTGCGTTCGTGATATTTAACAGCAATCCCAACTAGATCCCAGTAGCTCCACCCCACTAGATCCCAGTGTATCCCGTGCAGTTGTGACAACCTAAAAATGTCTTTAGTGTTGCCAAATGTCCTTGGAACGGGTGTGAAAATCCCCGGCCCAGTTGAGATGGGTTTTCAACATGTTGCCTCAGCCTCCTAAACATGTTGGGATTACAGGTGTGAGCCACACGCCCGCCT